ATACCTCCAGATTTGGCAGATCACTGTAAGGATCAAGAGGCTGTAGCATCTGTACAATTCTTTAAGATTTATTATACTGAAAGTACACAAAATAAGCAAAAGGGAAAAGTAGCATGGAGTATGGTCTGTGTATACTTCCAAGAGTCCTTCCATTAGATTCACACAGGATGTTTCTAACTCATCTAAGCAAAAAATGATGTGTTTTCTACCAGGAAAATTAACCTGAGCCTTGGAGTACAGGGGTGTGTGTGTGTGTGTGTGTGTGTGTGTGTGTGTGTGTGTAGGGTGGTGGGATCAGTCATCAAATTTACCAGAAGTTTATGTTCACAAACTATTGTTCTAATAGCTTAGGCACTGATAAGCAGCCTTATCAATTAGGGTGATAGACTAGCAGTGTTAGACTTGCCTTTTTAACTCATTTCTGTACACATGTCATATACTAATTGCCGCAGTCTGGCTGGGCACAAATCAGGAGCCACTCAAGCAGGAACAAACTTCCGAACCCCCCCCCCCCCCCCCCCCCCCCCCCCCCCCCCGGGCCCTTCCAGGAACCTCACACACCAACCTGAACTCTCCACCAGAACTTCACCAACCAACGCGAACACCCCAGGAATCCCCGCGAGGAGTTCTGGAGGCCGGACAGCAGGGGTCTATATACAATTGAATACACAGCCTGTTTCGATCCAGCATCATCTTAATGGCTCGACTCTCAACCATTACTTCTGGCAAAACGCCAGGGGCCATTCCTACTCAGCTGTGGCTCTCAACACTAATAGCTTTTGCTTACTACTCATTTGAAAGGGATTACTTTTCCATCATTTTATTACTTTGTTATATGTCTTCCTATACTAAATGAGATTTCTCCTAGATTTAAAAATTCCTTTAATAAAAATACCATTGTGATACCTATTTTTTTTCTTTTCAACAATTGTTTGGCTTGTGTTTTACCTCTGAGCTATATTCCCAACCTTTTTGTTTTTAGTTTTTTTGAGACAGTCTTGCTCATTGTTTAGAGCCTTGCTAAGTTGCTAAGACTGGCCTTGATTTACCATCCTTCTGCCTCTGCTTCAGCTTTCAAGCCACTGGGATTATAGGCATGTGCCATTGTGCCCAGCTGTAGCATTTCTTTCACTTGTATATTGGAAATTTGAGGATTATTTAGAAAAACCTGCTGGTAGTGGAAGTGTAAATTGCTACTTAACCTTTCTAGAAAAGCAGCTTTAACCTTTGGGATACTATCATTCTCAGTTAGACCCGATATTTTTTAGCAGTCCCAGTTATCTGTTAAATTTTAGTATGTGGTCAGTTATTTTGTAAATGTCTTCAAAAGAACAAAAAAGAAGATTAAAAAATATTAGAAGAAACCCCCCCCCCCTTTAAAATCACCATATTGGTCTATTGGGTCACTATATAAATTTAAGATAACATTATCAAAATATTTTTTATTTTTCCTTTGTCAAACATTTGGTTATTTTGTCTTGCTAAAGCTTATTTTATCATAACTCTTTAGTTATTCCCAACTATGCTAATAAAGAGTAATATAGAAAAAAAACCCCACAAAATGGTAAAATAAAAGACATCTCTTTACTTTTTAAAAATTATATTATCAAAATACTCTACCACCTTTTTTGATGGTGTTTTACCACTGAGCTACATTCCCAAACTTTTTTCTTTTTTCTTTTTGGTGGTGCTGGGGATTAGAACCCAGGGTCTTGTGCATGAGAGGCAAGCCCTCTACCAACTGAGCTACATCCCCAGCCCCAAACTTTTTGTTTTTATTTTTTGAGACCGTCTTGCCCATTATTTAGGGCCTTGGTATGTTGTTAAGACTGGCCTTGGTAGTACTGGTTATTGAACCTAGAGCCTTGGGCATGCTAGCCAAGCACCATACCATTGAGCACCACCTGTAGCCCTGTATCATCTTTCTTTCTTTTTATTAGTTTTTTTTAGTTGTAGAGGGACACAACACCTTTATTTATTTATTTATTTATCTGTTTTTTTGTGGTGCTGAGGACTGAACCCATTGCCTCACATGTGCTTGTAGGCAAGTGGTCCACCACTGAACCACAATCTCAGTCCCCTGCATCATCTTTTAAGTCACTGTCACAACATAATTAGAGGTCCTTTCCAAATGATGGTATTTCATGGGATTTTCTTATACAAAACTTAAATTCTTATTTAAATGAAACATTTTCAAGATGATTATTCTGGTGACAAAATGGGGATAAATATTAGAGTTTAAGATTTAAAACCTTTGTGAATACTGAAAGATGAAAGTGAAATTAAAAAGATGGGTGAAAGTGGAGTGGGGTGGTGCACACCTATAATCTGAGCTATTTGGGAAGCTGAGGAAGGATTATTGCAAGTTTGAGGCTAGCCTGGACAATTTAGTGAGGCCCTGTCTCAAATTAAAAAATAAAGAGGATTGGGAGTGTGTGTGTGAGTGTGTGTGTGTGTCTATGGATGTAGCTTAGTGGTAGAGTATAAGTGGGTTTGATTCCTAGTACTTCAAAAAAAATAAATTAAGATGAGAAAATGGACAAAGGATGATTCTAAAGAATAGTAGGTACAGTGAAATCACGGATGTTACTATTTTCACATATGTCCTAATTTAGCAAAAATAAGATACAGTCCTTAAGTACTTCCCTTCTGTGTGCGACACATTCCTATATTTCTCACTTTTGATATATTATGGATAAAGGTGATTGTGACTGATTTTTGCATGCTTGTTCATGTCTCTTTAGAAGTAGAATTGCAGGAACAGGTAATATAAAAGGAGGGGCTGTGAGAGTATACACATTTGTGTTTGTTTCTTCCAAGAAGACTCTTAACTTCCTTTCTCCCCAAATGTTTTTAAGAATCATCTAGTGGCAAGTGGGTGTGTTTTCACAAAACTGTAATCCCAGTGGCTCGGGAGGCTGAGACAGGAGGATAAGAGAGTTCAAACCTAGTCTCAGGAATTTATTGAGGCCTTAAGCCACTCGGTGAAACCCTGTCTCTAAAAAAAAAATTACAAAAAATGGCTGGGGGTGTGGTTCAGTGGTTAAGTGCCCCTGAGTTCAATCCCTGGCACCAAAAAAAAAAAAAGAAAGAATTAGCTAATGGTCCATGTTATAGTTAAAATACCTGATATGTTTCAGAGTATAAACATGTCATTATTTTTCTCCTAACCTTGTTTACCATTTTCCTGTAAAAATCTTGTCATTTTCAAGTAATTGTCATGTTTTCTGAGACAAGTGGTCTGCTTAGTAATTTTCCTTCGTGAGTATCTTTTGAATTTTGAGGAATTAGAATAGCCTTGTGTTATTGAAGGGATGTGCATGTTCTATCTTTGTTGACCTTTGCTCACCTGGAGCTCTTTTTTCTGGTTTTATTGCTATTCTTATGTTTACTGTCCTGCCCTAGTTTCCAGTGGGTAAATTCTCCACTTAATGCATCATCTTCATTTTGGCCCTGGGCCCCTTTGAGTCCTCTTAGAAGTAACAAAATTCAAATCCCTTTTCTTTTGTGTTCTTACTTAGCTTATTTGAGGTCTCTATAATTACATTCAGTAATATCCCATACCTGATTTTAATTCTTTCTTAAAAGGTTTCCACTAGCTCAGATATAATTTTTTAAAAATAATTTTGTATACTTTTCTCTGGTTTAGGATCTTGTTTATGTGTTAAACAGAAGCTTTTGGATTCCAAAAATCCCCTTCCCCATTTCTAGCTCTTCTGGTAGCACTTAAAACATTAACAATCAAACTTATTTCTCTCTGAAGCATCATTTTTTGAAGGCAGAGTAAGTAGATTTTACTGTTGTGTGCATGGTGAGCTGATAGCAAAAAAAATTTAATATCAGTATAACATCATAACTCTTCCTTCCTCCTCTTACTTAGAAAAAATATTAAAAAAGAGAATGTTTTTCTAGTCACATCTTTCAGTATACACTCTTTGTCTCTTCCCCCTTCCCTAACTTGCCCCATGAATGTCTTGTCTTTTGCGTCTCCTACTTTTGTTTGATACCTTTAGGTGTCATTTTAGGCTTTAGCTTTTTTTTAGGGGGTGGAGTACAGGGGATTGAACTCAGGGCACTCAACCACTGAGCCACATCCCTAGCCCTCTTTTGTATTTTATTTGGAGATAGGGTCTCACTGAGTTGCTTAGTACCTTGTTGTTGCTGAGGCTGGCTTTGAATTTGTAATCCTCCTGCCTCAGTTTCCAGAGCTGCTGGGATTATAGGTGTGTGCCACTGGGCCCAACAGGCTTTAGCAGTTTTTTAAGAAAGATTTTTTTCCCCTCCCTGAACGACACTGGTAGACTGGGATATGGGTAAATGTGGGTAGAGAAGCATGGTTTGAAGTGATGGGACATGGGAATGATAAGGGCCACATAACATAAAACATAGGTTAGGTATGCATTATTTTTCATTGTGCTTTATAAAAGTGAACTACAGTGGTTCTGCTGATTCATAATTGATAATTTATATACTCGTATTTTCTGGCTTTGACACTCACCTGTATCTGGCTAGCAAATATTTATTGACTGATTTTATGACAAGATATGCTACTTTTTTTTTTTGAATCTTTATTTTTATGTGGTGCTGAGGATCGAACCCAGGGCCTCGAACCGAGTGCTCTACCGCTGAGCCACAACCCCAGCCCAAGATATGCTACTTCTGACATATTCTCAATTGAGATATTTTCCAAGCATTATTTTATTTATTTATTTTTTGGTATTAGTCATTGAACTCAAGGGCACTCGACCACTGAGTCACATCCCCTGCCCCATTTTGTATTTTATTTAGCAACAGGGTCTCACTAAGTTGCTTAACGCCTCGCCATTGCTAAGACTGGCTTTGAACTCGTTATCCTCCTGTCTCAGCCTCCCAAGCCACTGGGAATACAGGCGTGAGACATCTCGCCCAGCTCCAAGCATATATATTTATTATAAAAAGTATCTAGAATGGTGTTGAAAGTAGGCATTATGTTAATATTTATTAATTCTTTATATATCCAGGACTCCTCGTCCAGTCATTGTGGAGCCCATGGAGCAGTTTGATGATGAAGATGGCTTGCCAGAGAAGCTAATGCAGAAAACTCAGCAATATCATAAGTAAGATTTTATTAATAAAGATATTTTAGATATGTGCTATCAGGGGTGTTTATTTTATCATATTTACTGTCTAGTACTATTGGGTTATACGATATTCTGTGTAGTCAATACAATCTGGTTAATAGAGTAATCTGGTTTATGTTGAATGCTAGTTGTCTTTTTGTGTGTGAAACATTAATTTTACTTAGAATAATCTTTCCTTTTATACTGTGGTAGAGGTAGGTGGTTAGGAGGAGACATGCTAGAGAAAAATGAAATCTAGATAATGTGAAAATATATCTTCAGTTAGTATGCGTCAGGTGTATTTAAGTAGAAAGAAGACTTTTGGGTGGGTAGGGAGTAGTGTTGGGAGGTCAAATATCCTGGCACAGCGGAAGAACTATTTTACAGGTTTAAAAAAAAGCCCATTTTCAAAATGCTGTAAATTTTATCAGTTGCTCCCCCCTTTTTTGAATCACTTTTTTTTGGAAATAACTTTTTTTTTTTCTTTTTTAGTTGTAATTGGACATCTAAAAGAAAATCTTTATTTTATTTTTATGTGGTGCTAAGGATTGAACCCAGGGCCTTGCACATGCTAGGCGAGTGCTCTATCACTAAGCCACAATCCCAGACCCTGCCTTTTTTTTTTTTTTTTTTTTTTAAAGATAGAATGAGAGAGGGAGGGAGAGAGAGAGAGAGAGAGAAATTTTTTTTTTTAATATTTATTTTTTAGTTCTCGGCGGACACAACATCTTTCTTTGTATGTGGTGCTGAGGATCGAACCCGGGCCGCACCCATGCCAGGCGAGCGCGCTACTGCTTGAGCCACATCCCCAGCCCCGACCCTGCCTTTTTTTTTTAAAAAAAAATATTTTTTAAGGTATTAGAATATCTTTTTATTTATTTATCTATTTATTGAATGTGCTGAGGAATGAACCAAGGGCCTTATGCGTGCAAGGCAAGCGCTCTACCACTGGGCTACAACCCCAACCCTATCAGTTGCCTTTTTTATTTAGTGTGGTACAATTATATTTGCATAAGTTGTCTGTAAATACTTTGTTTTTATAAACAGTCACTTTATTGTCTTTGTGCCAAGCACTATTCTGGGTGTTACTAGGGCAGTCAAATAGGTAGTTGGGTGCATCTGATTTTAGAGGATCTGTCCTGGCAGAGAGTACCAACATGTGATAACAAGCCAAAGGACTGAACTCTGAGTCTTGAAATAATCCATATATATAGCAGATTGGAAGATCAGAAGGAATCAAAAAAGACTGAGAAAGGGGGTCAGTCATTGGAATAGGGGAGTCAACCAGCAGCAAACTGAGTCCTGGAGCAAGGGAAGAGTATCACTAGTAATGGATCATAATTCAGAACCATAATGCTGTTCTTCAAAGACTTAACTATGACTTCCTGTTTGCTTGACATTTTCTTGTTATATCTTACCATTACAAATTTGAGATAGTGTACACTTTTGGATTGTGAACTGGAATTATATTAAAGAACTGGAATTATAAGAGTCTTAAACAAAAGTGGGATTTAATACAGTTTTTTTAAAAGAAATCTAGTTAATTTTCCTAGATTTACTACTAAAGAGTCAGGTTCAGGAGAAAATGCTCATAGAGGATAAAAAGCAAGTTTAAAATTTAATTCTAGGTCCAAAAATCCATGTTGTTTTCCTAGAGAGAAAGAGAAGAATTCTTATATTTATAGTCAGTCTCAGAGTTAGGACTGCTGTCTAATATACAGTTCTTAGTAAATTAGTGGTTGGTATATCATCTTACTTCTTCACCCTTCCATGTTAATACTTTATAAAGAAAAGATGGAAATTTGTTTTGCAGGTATAGAATATCTAGATCATGACTAACCTTTGAATGTCCTCATGTACCTGTGAAAGGTCCTCAAAGCTTTTTCTTGTTATTACATCTTTCCCTCTGTGACAACCTATGCTTTATCTTTCTGAAATTGGTCCCACCTCTTATCTTTCTTTCTCTACCTCAAAATAAAAGTTAAAATTTACAGTTGCAAATTATAGGTGGGATGAAGATTGTATTGTGGTGGCTGGGGTTATGGTTCAGTGGTAGAGTGCTCGCCTAGAATGTGTAAGGTACTGGGTTCAATCCTCAACACCACATAAAGATAAATAAATAAAGGTATTATGTCCATCTACAATTAAAAAATATTTAAAAAAAAGATTGTATTGTGTTCTTATGATCCTATGAGTACTTCTTAAAGTTCTCATAGCCAGTAATAATTGATTTTTTAAAAAATTTTAGATAGCATTCATAGACCTTTATTATTATTTTTTAATTGGTCATTTGTTTGCTCATCATTTATGTTACTTCTCTCAAAAAAATATATATATACATATACTAAATTTACATGATAGGGCCAGATACTGTACTTGAGGGACCACAGTTAACAGACTGATGCTCAAATTGAATTTAAAATATTTTGTTAGCACTTAAAACAAGTTGTGGGTTAGGCCTTTGATTTTTGGCTCAGCCAGTTAACCTGTTTATTAATAAATAAATGTTTATTTACTAACAATGATTTCTAACAGCTTTTATTACTAAAATATTACATTTTGCCATGTAATCAGAGTACTACCTATGTGATGAAGAGCCTTGAACATTATAAATGCTCAATAAATGGTAGAGTATTCTCTGATGTTGTTGTTTACTTTTTAAGCATACATTTCTTTATGTTTTTAATGTAAATTTAGGGAAAGAGAACAGCCACCACGTTTTGCTCAACCTGGAACATTTGAGTTTGAGTATGCATCTCGATGGAAGGCTCTTGATGAAATGGAAAAACAGCAGCGTGAGCAGGTTGATAGAAACATCAGAGAAGCCAAAGAAAAACTGGAGGCAGAAATGGAAGCAGCTAGGCATGAACACCAATTAATGCTAATGAGGCAAGGTAAAAACATATAAATATGGTGTGATATTTTCATATAGATATGGTGTGATATTTTCATATAGATATGGTGTGGTATTTTCTTCTTGAGATTTATTTATGTGTCCACTGACATGTATTAGTACTTAAGTTCCTATTTAGGAGTCTAAAGACAAGAGTTGGAACTCAATATTTCTCTTTGCTGCAAATTTTTTCTTTGATAAGTGGATGCTGATCCATAGTCAGGGACTGAGGGGTGCGTAGGGAAGAATGAAGGAACTTTGGATTGTGCAGAAAGGAGTGAGGGGAGGGCTGGGAAGGCGGGGATGGGAAGGACAGTAAAATGAGATAGACATTATTATACATGTATGATATACACATAGTATGATTACACTACTGGTGTGACTCAGCACCATCTATAGGCAGAGTATTGAAAAGTTATGCTCTATTTGTGTACGGTTTGTCAAAATGCATTCTAGTGTGTCACGTATAACTAATTAGAACAAATTAAAAAAAGAAAAATGTGAAAAGAACAGCAAAAAAATTATTTTTTCTGAGAGAATTTCTTTTATAAAAACATGAAATTATTTCAGGTTGAGTAAGCACGCAAAATGCTTGGGACTAGGAGTATTTCAGATTTCAGGTTTTTGGATTAACGATGCTTGCTCAGTCTTATATAAGTTCTACCTATGTTGAGTAATTTGTTAGAGATAATTCAGTGGTGTTAAATTTTGCCAGTAGCAAATATATACTCTAGAGGCAAAAAGAGAAGTATAGTGGGCAATTCTTGATAGTTTTAGTTAAGTCATGAAACCATATATCAAGATTATTTGTTGGAAATTAGGACAGATACTGTTGATTTATAAATTATTGCTACATGCCAAAATGATATAGATGGATAACCTAGAAGAGATATAAAAGATCCATATGCGCTGATGGATACGGGGATTTAGAAAGAGTAAATTCCTAGTAATGAGCTGGAAGGTACTTGAGACTATGCTAACAGAACTTCTAAGAGCACTGCTAATGGGCCATAATGTTCTCTCATTCCCTACTCGGATACCTAATAATATGATAAACCATTTTTTAAACGTGTCAGAAGCTCACTTCCCTTTTTGTCGTCTTTAGCTTTTTTTTTTTAATACCTGTCTTTATTGTTCATGAACATCTCTCTTCCCTTTTTTGATCTTTAATTTTCCAAATAATTTTTTCTGGTCCTTCCTGCCACCACTCTTTGCCATTACGCCTGATAGTTTTATTTTCTTTAAGTATAGGATTACTTTCTCTTCTTCAGGTCATTTATTTGTTTATTTATTTTTGTTTTTGGTGGTACTAGGGATCAAACTCAGGGCCTCATACTCTACCACTGAGCTACATCCCCAGCCTGGCTCTTTACTTTATTCTTTATTTTTATTTTTTTGTAGTTGTAAATGAACACAATGCTTTTATTTTATTAGTTTATTTTTATGTGGTGCTGAGGATTGAACCTAGTGCCTCACACATGCTAGCTGTTTGCTACTGAGCAGCTATAGCCCCAGCTCTTTTACTTTATTCTTAAGTTTTTCATTTTTGTTTTTTAAGTTAGCATTTCAGTTAATATTTATCTTCAGTTAGCTGTCCACAGAGATTGAGGCACTACAGATATCTCTCTGCCTATGTGCAGTATGTTTATGGGACTTTCTTCTATCTGATGTTTGCCTTCTGTAAACCATTTAATATACTTCAGAGTTATTGTTTCTTTAAAAGGTAAATATTTGTTCATTCAACTCTAAATCATTTTGGTAAATTTCTGTTACTTTTTGGATAAAGTATAAGGTGTGGGTTTTAATTCTCCTGTCTTGGTTTGTAGAGTTGCTAGAATTACAGATATACCAGCCCTTCCAGCCTTTTTTTTTTAAATTTATTTTTCAGTTTTCAGCGGACACAACATGTTTATTTTATTTGTATGTGGTGCTGAGGATCGAACCCAGCGCCCCACGCATGCCAGGCAAGCACGTTACCACTTGAGCCACATCCCCAGCCCTTTTTTAAAATTTTAAAATTTTTTTTATTTTTTAGTTTTTTAGATGGACACAATATCTTTAGTTCATTTTTTTTTAATGTGGTGCTGAGAATCGAACCCAGTGCCTCACGTATGTTAGGCAAGCGCTCTACCACTTGAGCCACATCCCTAGTCCCCCCCCCCCTTTTTTAAATTAGTCTCAGGCTGGCCACTAACTCCTTGGTTCAAACCATCCTCCTGCCTCGGTCTCCCAAATAAGTTGGGACTTCAGGTATTTACCATCTGGGGTTTTTATTTTTTATTTTTTGGTACTGAGGCTTGAACCCAGGGACTCCGGACTACTGAGCCATTCCCCAGCCCATTTTGGGGAGGTGGGGTAGGGGTGGGGTTGTTACCTGGGATTGAACTTAGTCCTATTTTGTATTTTATATAGAGACAGGGTCTCACTGAGTTGCTTAGCGCCTCACTTTTGCTGAGGCTGGCTTTCAACTTGTGATCCTCCTGCCTTACCATCTGTTTTTGATCATCAGCATAGTTCTTGAATTTTCTTATCTTTGTTACCCTAACTTAATACAACTCTAAGCAGATAGTATAAACTCTTCACCATGTATTTTTCTGTTACTTTCTTTCTTTCCACTACTGAGCTTTTCTTTGTTGTATTGCCTTTTTTTTTCTTTTAATATTTTTACAAAATTTTGCTTTTGTATTTATAAATTAAGTAATAAAAGTATATTTATTTCCTTTAAATGATGATTCCCAACTACCAAAGAAAGAAGGACAAGGAAATAACTATATCTGGTCATCCTTTTGATTTTCCTGTAATTTTTATTAATCTTACCTCTTATTTTTTTGGATTTATGGCATTGACTTAATCTTCCCTCCCTGTCTTTTTTGTACCCTCCCTTCCTCTTTCTTGTACTGGGATGAAATCTATGTCTTATTATGCTGAACATTCTCTCTACCTCTGAGCTATACTCTCAGCCCCATCTTTAATCATAATTCTCATATGTGCTTAAATCTTAACCTTACTGTATATAGGTTCAGGCATGACTTGACTACTGTTCATTACTTATTGCTGTTTATTCTCAATTATCCTCTGTAATAAGGACATAGAAACAGTATTTCTTTTTTGGGGGTGGGTGCTGGGGATTGAACTGGGGCTCTTGACCACTGAGCCACATCCCCAGCCCTATTGTGTATTTTATTTAGAGACAGGGTCTCACTGAGTTGCTTTAGCAACTCACTGTTGCTGGGGCTGACTTTAAACTTGGGATCCTCCTGCCTCGGCCTCCCAAGCCATTGGGATTATAGGTGTGTACCACTGTGCCTGGCTGAAACAGTATTTCTTGAGCTCTTGCATGTGCTGAAATATTATCTATAATCCTTGTTATACGTGTGAAATCATTTATCTTTCCCTACCCTTTCTTTCTTAATTGGTAACATGTTTTAGAATCTTCTAGCATTTTGTGTTTCTGTAAAGGAGTCTAAAATAATCCTGAATTTGTATTATAATTGCTTTATTACATTGTTATTTCTGTTTGTAATACTGGGCAGTGAACCCAGGACCTTGCACCATAATAGACAAGCATTCTGCCACTGAGCTGTGTTGTGTATTGAGTCCTTTTTTTAAAGGAAAAATTATTTTGAGAGTCCCTTTTTTATTTTTTCATTTTTAGTGGTAGATGAATAACAATACCTTTATTTATTTATTTTTTAAAATTTTTTATTGTTGGCTGTTCAAAACATTACATAGTTCTTGATATATCATATTTCACACTTTGATTCAAGTGGGTTATGAGCTCCCATTTTTTTTTTTTTAATTTTTTTTATTGGTTGTTCAAAACATTATAAAGCTCGATTCAAGTTGGTTATGAACTCCCAATTTTACCCCAAATACAGATTGCAGAATCACATCGGTTACACATCCACATTTTTACATAATGCCCTATTAGTAACTGTTGTATTCTGCTACCTTTCCTATCCTCTACCATCCCCCCTCCCTCCCCTCCCATCTTCTCTTTCTACCCCATCCACTGTAATTCATATCTCTCCTTGTTTATTTTCCCATTCCCCTCACAACCTCTTGTATGTAATTTTGTATAACAATGAGGGTCTCCCTCCATTACCATGCAATTTCCCTTTTCTCTCCCTTTCCATCCCACCTCATGTATCTGTTTAATGTTAATCTTTTCTTCCTGCTCTTCCTCCCTGCTCTGTTCTTAGTTATGAGCTCCCATTTTTACCCCATATACAGGTTGCAGAATCACATCAGTTACACATCCATTGATTTACATATTGCCATACTAGTGTCTGTTGTGTTCTGCTGCCTTTCCTATCCTCTACTATCCCCCCTCCCCTCCCCTCCCCTCCCCTCGTCTCTCTCTGCCCCCTCTACTGACATTCATTTGTCCCCCTTGTATTATTTTTCCCTTTCCCCTCACTTCCTCTTGTATGTACTTTTGTATAACTCTGAGGGTCTCCTTCCATTTCCATGCAATTTCCCTTCTCTCTCCCTTTCCCTCCCACCTCTCATCCCTGTTTAATGTTAATCTTCTTCTCATGCTCTTCGACCCTACTCTGTTCTTAGTTACTCTCGTTATATCAAAGAAGACATTTGGCATTTGTTTTTTAGGGATTGGCTAGCTTCACTTAGCATAATCTGCTCTAATGCCATCCATTTCCCTGTAAATTCTATGATTTTGTCATTTTTTAATGCAGAGTAATACTCCATTGTGTATAAATGCCACATTTTTTTTATCCATTCGTCTATTGAAGGGCATCTAGGTTGGTTCCACAGTCTTGCTATTGTGAATTGTGCTGCTATGAACATCGATGTAGCAGTGTCCCTGTAGCATGCTCTTTTTAGGTCTTTAGGGAATAGACCGAGAAGGGGAATAGCTGGGTCAAATGGTGGCTCCATTCCCAGCTTTCCAAGAAATCTCCATACTGCTTTCCAAATTGGCTGCACCAATTTGCAGTCCCACCAAGTAAGGGTACAAGTGTACCCTTTTCCCCACATCCTCGCCAGCACTTGTTGTTGTTTGACTTCATAATGGCTGCCAATCTAACTGGAGTGAGATGGTATCTTAGGGTGGTTTTGATTTGCATTTCTCTGACTGCTAGAGATGGTGAGCATTTTTTCATGTACTTGTTGATTGATTGTATGTCCTCCTCTGAGAAGTGTCTGTTTATGTCCTTGGCCCATTTGTTGATTGGGTTGTTTGTTACAATACCTTTATTATTTATTTATGTGATGCTGAGATTCAAACCCATTGCCCCACGCATGAGAAGCAAGCACTCTACTTTTTTTTTTTAAATATTTTTAGTTGTCAATGGACCTTTATTTTATTTATTTATTTTTATGTGGTGCTCAGGATCGAACCCAGGGCCTTGCCCATGCTAGGCGAGTGCTCTACTGCTGAGCCACAACCCCAGCCCGAGGGTGACTACTTTCCAAGGAAGCTTGCTGGTGGGGATAGTACTGAGCTCTCTATATACTCTTGTTTTCTCCTGCTGTACATAGGTACCTGTGAATAAAGTTGAGTTTATGAATCAGGCACAGTAGGAAATTAACAACAATAAAATAATTATACCTATATTGTAACATTTATTTAAAACTTTTGAATTGTTTATTTTTCATTTAACATTTTTGCACTGTGATTAACTGCAACTACAGAAAGCAGAATTGTAGATAATTCGACATCACTTATTTTTAGTAATTTTCCCCTAGAAAGATATTTATCATGCTAGGGCATAAATGTATAAACTTTAGTAAAATCTCAGTATCTTTGGATCTTAGTGACTTTATTTTGCCAGGAGAGGTACTGAGGATTGAACTCATGGGCACTCAACCATTGAGTCACATCCCAAGACCTATTTTGTATTTCATTTAAGAGACAGGGTCTCACTGAATTCCTTAGCACCTCACTGTTGCTGAAGATGGCTTTGAACATGAGATCCTCTTGCCTCAGCCTCCCAAGCTGCTGGGGTTGCAGGCATGTGCCACCGTGCCCAGCTCGGATGTTAGCAACTTTTAACATACAGTTTAGTAAGTGTAAAATATTAGTTTTATTTTAAAAATCATAGTAACCCTGCTAAGTATCAGGTAACTGTGCTTAACTGATAATTTGATTGTTAGAGGCTTTGAGTTAATTATACTGTTGTTAAGAGTGAGGAAATATGACCTGAGATGTTAAAGCATCTCTGTTTTGTTTTTTATTTTTTTTAGGTTCTAGGCATTGAAAGTGGTCTCGTTCACATTGTTTTTGAGCTTCCCTGCTCTGCCCCCTTCTTTCAGGATTTTTCTCCTTGTTGCACTTCTTCATAAGACATTAACATAGTGCTAATTGTGTTGAGAGAGTTCTTTGGGTTTTATGCGGTATCCTAGTTCATTATATCTGTTTGGTCTGATTCTTAAGTGCCAGACTTAATTATACAATATACAAATTTATAATATAATTGTACACATATTTTGACACCAATAGAGAATTTTTTATTCTTGTTGACATAAAAACACAGAAAATAAACTAAAAATATTAATGTGTAGTCAATATTTTCTAGATCTGATGAGACGTCAAGAAGAACTCAGACGCTTAGAAGAACTCAGAAACCAAGAGCTGCAGAAACGAAAGCAAATACAGCTGAGGTAAAGCAACATCACTGTAACATAAACGTGAAAATATGTAATTGTGTGAGTTTTAAATAAATGTCCTACTACCCATTATAAACAAGTTATACAAGTAGGAATATGCTGAAAACAAATAAATAAGAAAATTGTTTATTTTTGACTCCATGTAGGGGATAATAATTTTCTTAAGATTTTTTTAGCTGGTTAAGGGTACTTTGATTGCATATTCTTTGGAGTTAAATAATGAGCTTAGGTAATGTTGCATATGATTTGTTAGATATTATTTTCAGAGATGGATATGTTTGGATATGTTTGAATTGCCATTAGTTTTTTTTTTTTTCATGTGTGACATTACTAGATGTCCCTTATGTATTTTTTGCTTCTGATAATTGTTGAAAAGATTTATGGAAGTGGACTCCATTGTAAAAAGCATTTAAAATCATAGTACGTAAGTTAACCATAATGATTAACTGGGGGCTGGTGATGTAGCTCAGTTGGTAGAATGCTTGCCCCTCATGCACAAGGCCCTGGGTTCAACCCCTGGAAGGAAGGAAGGGAGGGAGGGAGGGAAGAAAGAAGGAAGGAAGGAAGGAAAGAAGGAAGGAGGAAGACTGTGGTTGATTCATAAGATATAATTTTTACATTTGACAGTTTTCCTTGTGCCTACAGTATTTTATTGTGAAGTATAATGGGATACATAATCTCTTTATAAACTATAATAAGGAAATGTCCTGAACAAGGTTATGATGGTTGAAACAAACTTAGAAATTTTGATTTTGAAAGATCTATAAAAATAGCAAGTATTTGTGGTTAGAAGTAACTTGTTCGTGGAAAGTAAAAGTAGAGAAGAAAGTGAAAAACTGAGTCTGAAGTTTTTCTAGTTTGCAGATAGGTGATATTCAGTATGTTTTGATGTATTTTTGTAGTTTTGTCTTTGTACCTATTTACATCAATATTTGTAGTGTGTGTGTGTGTGTGTGTGTGTATCTGTTTTGGAACTACTATGATTTTACTTTACCCAAGTCATTTCCAGATTATAGTCCTTGAATAGGCAGCATAAGCATTCTTACCCAGAGAATTGTTAGAAATGCAAAGTCTCAAACTTAACCTCCAGAACTACTGAATTAAACTTGATTTTAGAGCCAAGCCATGTGGTTCCAGTGCAGCAGTTGCTCACATGAATGTCCTACCTCAGGGATTGTTTTTCAACTTCTCTTTTTATGTGAACATATTTAGCTGAGCACCGTGGCAGACACCTGTAATCTCAGCTCTTGGAAGCTGAGGCAGGAGGATGATGAGTTAAAAGCCAGCCTCAGCAATTTAACGAGGCCTTAAGCAACTTAGTGAGATCCTGTCCCAAAATAAAAAGGGCTGGGGATATGGCTCAGTGGTTAAGTGCTGTTGGGTTCAATTCCCAGCACCAATAAATAAATAGATAGATTGACCGATTAATTAATTAATTCAAATCTACTCTTAACAAAAAGGACACAAATACCTCCCCTAACTTAAAACCTTATCTAAATCTAGCTTCCTCTTATATTTTGACTTGACAGCTAGACTTTTTGTAATTGTACCCTACCTTTTGACTGCCTCCCCCCTCAAAAGAAAGAAAAAAGAAAGAAAAAGAAAAAACCCTAAATAATCAAAACAAATAACATGCATGTGGAGTGGAGTGGGTTGGGGTGGCCCAGAGTAGGATACCAAAATACAAATGAACCAATTACAAATGAACAATATAATCATACTGAAGTGTGTGTGTATTTTTCATTTTAGTCTTTCAGTTTTTGTGCAGTGTACTTATTCAGAGAAAGAAAAATTACTTTTTAAAAAGTAATAAATTTCCAGGTGTGATGGCACATGCCTATAATCCCAGCCACTTGGGAAGCTGAGGTAGGAGGATAACAAGTTCAAGGTCAGCCCCAACAACTCTGCAACTTAGTGACACCCTGTCTCAAAATAAAAAAAAAGAAAACACTGCTTGTCAAGTTTTTGGTGAAGTATCAGAGAATATCCACAATAACCAGATGGGCTACTAAAATAAGCATATATACACACACACGTACATACACACACACACACATACACTTACGTGATTTTCTTTATGTAAAGCAATATTTGCTACAGATTGAATATAGAAGCAGATATGACAGCCATAATAGTCCCTCAGTAATGGCAGGGAGATTCTGCTTCCCTACCACACTGCCTGGGAAGGCCACCAGGATTCTGTTTCCTAAAATAGGAAACTAGAATTCCACTTAGTTAATAATTTTTATGTATTTATATGTACATTAAACACATACTTTCTAAAACTTATAAAAACCTAAGGTTAGTCATAATAAATTGCATGCATCTTTAAATTTTGAAAGTTTTTTTTTTTTTTTTAAGTGTTAAGAAAGAACATTTATTGGGCATTTCTATCAGACACTGCCATTTGTCTAGAAGTTTGTGAAGTTCACTTGAGGTCAGATAGATGGGCAGGCAGGATGGAATGCCTGAAGGAATATATTCCTCAGACCATTGTTCTTGATATGTTTTTTTCCTAATTTTGGGCCATGGTTCTCAAATGTTTTTCACCTTATGGTGCTTTAAGGATCCCCTGAGACTGGCCCAGATTATCTTTATCATTTTTTGATCTTAGGGATTGAACCCAGCAGTATTTTGAAACAGGTTCTTGCTAAATTGCCAAGCCTGGCCTCAAACTTGTAATTCTTCTGCCTCAGGCTCATGAGTAGCTGGGATTACAAGTATGTGCTACTGCACCTGGTTTATGTACCTTTAGGTGAACATATATAGAGATATATGAACATAAATAGAGATAATGAGACCCTATTTTCTCCAAAAGGCTAAAATTTAAGTGAATCTGTGGTGCTGGTTTGGAGACAGATATAATAATGAATTCAGTGATGTTTAATATGAACACATGCAGAAATACAGATGTTTTTATGTGTGAATTAATATATACTTATATTTCATGACTCCATTGACCAAGAGGCCCTAGAATTAGTGGTATCCTAGTAAATATGAGTATATTTAGTATCCACATCTTTGTTTCTAAGAACTCTCATATAAGAAATGAGGGTTGATAGAAACACTGAAAGCCCACGATGTGATTATAATGTCTTGTGCCAAAGAGTAAAGAAGCATTCAAAAAAGGATAGAGTATATCAGAAGAACTGGGAGCTTTATGAAGGAGTTCCTTATGCCCAGAGTAGGATGATTTTAGCAACAAAATAAACAGTAATTGTCAGGTTTTTTCAAACATTTGATTTTAAGCCATAGAATAAAATAAATATTCATGAATCCATACTGATAAGAGCAATTGAATAAATAAATAATTAGAGGGCTAGAAAGGGCAGCTCCCCTTTAAAGTAAGAGTCTAATTAATAGATGCAGGAAGAATGAAAGCAATAATGTCACTGATCAGCAAAAACTGTAGTAATAATTATTACAGAGAAGATTTATTGAAAGAAGCTAAAGTTGGTAGGCAAAAGTTTGAAAAACAGGGTTTTTGCATAATTTCAAGTTTGTATTAAGTACAAATAGAAAACAAAGTGAATAAAATCCGTCAGACACCTTGAAAACTGTGTTAAAATTCCTATCATTCATATTAAATCAGTTGACTTCAGTCACCCCTTGATACTATTTAATGAGGATACAACATGATTTCTGTGGTTTTATTGCTAAATAGGCATATTGTCATTTCAGTTATGACAAAACATCAGGCAAACCCAAATTAAAGGGTCTTCTAAAAAATTTTTTCTTTTAGAAAGTGTCAGGTTCATGAAAGAAAGACTGAAGTGTTAAGAGACTGGAGGAGGCTAATAATAATTAAAAGCAGCTTGGGATTCTGATAAGGTCCTGGAACAGAACAACATTAGAGGGGAAAATTGAATTAGGTTTATAGTTATTAGTGGGTAATTATCATATTTTACCAATGTTTGTTCCTGATTTTTATAATTGTATCTTGGTAAGGTAAATGTATTATTTAATAGAAATTAGATGAGGTATACATAGGAGTGTTGTACTATTTTTGCAAGTTTTCTGTTAAAGTACTATAGGTTTTGGATATAGTGTAGGGAACAAATGACATAAGTTATTTCACTTTTGAAATGAACTCTTTATTTTTTTTATTTATTTTTTTGGTGGTGCAGGGATTAAACCCAGGGTAAGGCAAGCACTCTACCAACTGATAATAGCCCCAATTTCGCCTCCTAAGAATTTTGATTTTAAAAAATATGATAACTTGTCTTAAAATAAAAGAAAATCATCTGGCTAAAACTGCTACTGAGTAAGATAGCTTTAATTGTTAAACCAAATAACCTGGACTCTGCCTTTATATTTTTACCTTAGTTGGAATAGAAAAACCTTGCTTAGAAAAGTATGTTTTCAGAGAAACTAAAGAATTTCTTTGGAGTTAGAAAGGTTTTTAGTTTCTTTTTCAATGCTATAATAAATTACGTAAATTTTCATGAGCCACTTAATTCTTCAGAGGCTGGGTTCTACCTGTGACTTGTCTACTTACTAGTGTTTTTTTTTTTTTTTTTTAAGGGGTTACTATAGATTTAACCAGGGGCAAATTATCACTGAGCTACATCCTCAACCTTTTTATTTTTATTTTGAGACAGGGTCTGAGTACATTGAGTAAGGACCTCAGCAAGGTCTTAAATTTGTGATCCTCCTGTCTCAGCCTCCTGAGTCACTGGTATTACAGTCACGTGTCACTGTACCTGGCTGTGTAGTAGTTTTCATCATTTACTTTTTGCTTCGTTTCTTTTCTTCTCAACACTTTCCTGCCTATCCATTTATTTCCTAAATCTTTCAATATATTATCATTATTTTTTTCACAGTTTTGGGGATTAAAGCCAGGGGCACTCTACCACTGAACACTTTTTTTCCCCCAACGCTTTTTTTTTTTTTTTTCATTTCAAGACAGGGTTAAATAGCAGAGATTGGACTCAAATTTTTAATCTTCCTACCTCAACTTTCTGAATCTCTGGGATTACAGGTGTACACCATTATGCACAGCCAGCACATTATTTTAAAGTCCTTATGATGTGTTGGGTCAGCTTTTCTTTCCTATAACCCAAATACCTGACAGAACAAATTAGAGAAGGAAAGAATCTTTTATTTTGGTTTACTGTTTCAGAGGATTCAGTCCATGATCAGTTAGCTGCATGATTAGTAAGGCAGAACATCATGATGTCAATACTTGACAGAGGGAAGCAAAGAGGGAGAAAGACAGGAAGGAGCTGGGGACATGTACACCTTTGCAGGACATGCCCCTATAACCCACTTACTCCAGGTAGGTTCTACCTCCCATTAGTTCATTCGGCTATCAATTCATTCATCAAATGAGTTAATTCACTGGTAAGGTCAGAGCACCCATGATCTGATCATTGACCGAAAGCTCTATTTTTGAATTGCTGCATTGGGGACCTTGCTTTTCAATATATGACCTTTTGAGACATTACAGATTCAAACCATAATAGAGAGATAATGGGTCCATAGAATGTACTGTAAGCTTAGGCGGGCTGGGGTTGTAGCTCAGTGGTAGAGTGCTCACTTAGCATTCAAGAGGCACTGGGTTCAATCCTCAGCACCACATAAATGTAAAATAAAGATATTGTGTCCACCTAAAACTAAAAAAATAAATATTTAAAATAAATAAATTTTAAAAAATAACAGAAGGCATCTGAGCACAGTGGCACATTCCTATAATCCCAGCAAATTGGGAGACTGAGGCAGGAGGATTGTGAGTTCAAGGCCAGACTCAGCAACTTAGACCCTGTTACAAACCAACCATTCAAACAGAAAGCAGCAAGTCAGATTCGTTCAGTAAGCATTATGGCTTAGTGCCTAGATCCTCTGTTTTTAGAATCCTGTAAAAATATTTGAGATCTGAAGATTGTTAGAGGATTTCGATTTAAAACAAATTATAAAATTAAAATTGTATTAATTTTCAATTAAGTATGATGTAAAGGATGATATATTTGTCATACCTCTTTTTCTTTTTTTTTTGGTCCCATTTATGAATATAACATAGGGAATGCTCCTTTACCTGAAGAGATAACTTAGAGCATCTTGCAGAATAAGAAAAATAGAAAGCAAACATGGACAACAGGAATATTTATGCCACTTGTAAATTTAGGTTGTGGAATCATTGGTGTGGTATATCACAAGGATATTGCTCTTAATCAGATTGTTCCCATGTCATGTTAACTTTTTCATATCTTGTTCTTTATGCTTACAAATTAGGAATACTGGGTTTTGTTTTGTGGGACTAAGAATTGAACGTAGGACCTCGCACATACCAGGGAAGTGCTCTACTGCTGTGCTATAGCAGAATCCTTTTATAAATTTTTATTTTGGGACAGGGTTTTTCTAAGTTGCTCAGGCTGATCTTGAATTTGTGATCTTCTGCCTCAACCTCCTAAGTAGCTGGTATTACAGGTGTGCACCACTGGCAGGAACACTGTTTTTTACTTGCCTTTTTTTTGACAATAAATATTCTTTCATTATCAGTAAATGCATACCTACCCTTTTGTAACAGCTATGTTCCTTCGGATTAGTGAACCTTGATTTTTTTTTTTCCTATATACTGATTAATGTGTCTTTATCCTTTGCTTTTATGAATAATGCCTCAGTGTATAATGGTGTACATATTTATGCTTGCACATTTGTGCACATATTTGTTTAGTTTACTGGAAATTGGTTTGCACATTTTTAAATTATATGTTAGAAGTTGACCGCCAGCAGGATCATATTATGTCTGCAAAGCTTTAAAACCAAAAATAGTTTTTAAAATGTGTCATTTAGTGGCAGAATCTGATGTGAATATGTTGGATGGAGAAGCTTGACTTGAAATTATGTTGTTATCTTGTCAATCTTTATGTTTTCCAAAGATCATGCATGTTCACCTTACTGCAAAAATACTGATGTGGTTGGTTATGAGGTGCCAGTCTGAACCTCATTGGAAATTTAGTATTAGTATATTGATCTTTTTTAAAAACCAGAAAAAGTCTATTTAAAAACACATTTGTCTTAAATAAGGTAATTTTTAGCTAGGGGTGATGATGTATAACTGTAATCCAAGCAACTCAGGAGGCTGAGGCAGGAAGATCACAAATTTGAGGCCTGCAAAATTTGAAAAAAGCACAAGGAGAGCTGGGGATATAGCTAAGTGATAGAGTGCCTCTGGATTCAAATCTCAATACCACAGTGATGATGGTGGTGATGATAAGAAGTTTTTACTTGTTCCTGTGTACATATTCAGTAGTATATGAATTTGAAAGTATTTTGTTAACAATAAAATTTATGAACTGATTAATGCATTTACTAAAGATATTTTTTAAAGCGTGTGATAGTTTTATTTTGGAGAGTTAGGCAACATTTTAAAAATAGCATAGATTTTGGTTGAAATCCATGTAGGAACATTGTCTCTTTACTTCTTGTGAGCCTAAAACCTTACTCTTGAGTAACTTAACAGATTTTCTTCTGGCAGTGGAAGAAGTCACATATTTCAGTTAGTGGTTTTGTGTTTGTGGGGAATGTTGTGCAACATTCAAAATGCAGTGTTTTGAAGCTTAATTCTGAATATTGAAAGGTGTTTATTCAAGTTAACCTTTGATTTCTGCTGATGGGACATGAGTTTAATATAGCCTTCACTATTTCAATTACTATTTTTTTTGTGTGTGTTTGTGTGTGTGCACATGCGTATGCATTTAGGACATATATAATTTGGAATTTGCATTGATTGAATATTAAATATTACGAGTCTGTTCCTTAAATATTAATGTAGGTTTTCTGATTTGATCATATAATAATTTAATTACCGATTTAATAGTAATCCTACACATACATATGTTGATTTTTGCTTGAAGTTTTACTTGCTCTAGAACAGGAGTCAGCAGATTTTTATTTTCTGGCAAAGGATAGGATAATAAATATTTTAGTTTTTGTAGGTCATATGACCTCTGTTTTAACTCTTTAACTATGCTAGCTAAAGCAAATGATTGTCCTATATAACTTAATTTACCAAAAAAAAAAAAAAAAAAAGTGTGGGCTGCTACTGTTCAGAAGTTCTTCGGTGGGTTAACAAAAGTAGAGCAAAGAGAGGTCAATAAAACTTTTCTTTCTGCACACAATAGAATTTTTGTCTAGGCAGTGCATCCTTTGAGGTGGCTAATTTTTGTAGGTTTTGGATATATTGAAGACCTCTGCCATGTCATTGATAAATTTTAGACACCCCTCCCCTCTGTCTTTTTCTGGTACTTGGGGGTTGAGCCCAGGGGTGCTTTATGGCTGAAGTATATCTCCAGTTCTTTTTATTTTGAGATAATCTCTCGCTAATGTGTTGAGCCTGGCATGGAACTCCACTACCATTCCTGGGTCTTTGGATTTTAGATTTCTTTCTTCCCCCTCTCCCTCCCACCTCCTTCCCCTCCCTTCCCCCCTTCCCCTCCTGTTGTACTCCTCTTTTTGTACTCCTCCTTTTGTAGTTGTAGATGGACAGAATGCCTTTATTTTAGTTGCTTGTTTTTATGTGTTGCTAAGGATTGAACCCAGTGCCTCATATATGCTAAGGCAAGCGCAATGGCACTGAGCTATATAACCACTGAGGTTATGTGTCATTGCCTTGGGGTTTTTTGTGTATGTTTCTTTACTTTATTTCAGTTATTTCTTTGGCTGAGTTTTTAGACTTGGAACAAAATAGAAGAAGGAAGTTTAAATCTAGGCACTATAATCGATCATTAGTCACAAATTTGACATATTATAATTTGTATAAATTATTTTTTATATGAAATAAAGTACCTGGTTGTGGCTTACATGTTGTAGTGCTGAAATTTTTGTTTGAAATAATTTCAGACATGAAGAGGAACATCGTCGGCGTGAGGAAGAAATGATCCGACATAGAGAACAAGAGGAATTGAGGCGACAGCAGGAAGGCTTTAAACCAAACTATATGGAAAATGTAAGTAAAATATAGTTAACCAAAAATATTTTATATTATCAGGTGGGTGACATGTATTTGGAATTTTTTTAGATTTTTATTTATACAATAGTATATTTTCTAATCTCTTTGAAGTTGCCATGCTTAACCTCTTACAGATAATAAAATTAGTTACTGAATGTAATATGTTTTATGAAATGGATTGTCCTTTTTTTTTTCTTTCTATTTTAACTGCCCTTCTAAAAAATATAAGCTGTTAAATTAGAAATCCTAACTATATGCATCATCTCCTGGCTGATTTTTACCTTATACTGATACTAGCAAGTCTTTATTCTGGAACATTTTAGATACATAAAAATGGAGACTAGTATATACCCATCATTCCAGATATAACAGTTACAAACACATGGTTGTATACATATTTTCTTTCCCAAACTATTTTGTTTGAAATATCTAACTTCATATAGTTTCACATGTATTTTTAGTACATATCTCTAAAATATGTGTATTTTTCTTTTAAATACCTGTATCGTATCTTAAAAATGGCTAGTTTTTGTTGAATAATTAAAGCTGAGGTTTACATAGCTCTTATAAATGATTTTTTTTTTTACAATTGATGTTTTGAATTGTCTGATTTTCTCTCTCATTTTTTTCTTTTTTTTTAAAGCCTCATTATGCATAGTATCTCGCATGCTGAGTTTTTCTGATTACATCAGTACAGTGATTTAGCACATTCCTGTGTTCCTGAATTTTCTGCAAACTGAGATATTCAAAAACTTAATCTGATTCAGGTTTTGGTTTTGGAGGGCAAAATGGTAAAGCAAACAAGACTATGTCAGATATGTTAAAATCTACAAGTTCTTAATGATAATGTGTGAAGAGTTACTACATTTTTCATCTTGAAAGAATGCCAACATAACCCATTATTCTGAAGAATATCTCTTATTTTTTTTTTCTTCTCTGATGTTGGGAGCTATGATACTTCAAAAAGAAGCTTAGACTTCTTTAGTAAGTTTCTGAGGCTAAGAGTATTAACAGTTCAAATTATTGACTCTTTTTCCTGACCTTTCTGTCCTTATTCTTCTGAAAATTTTTAGCTTTTTTTTTTAACTAGAATACATAGAAAAGTAAATCTTAAGTTGTATAATAACAAAGAATATTTATCTTACTATCAGGTAAATACCCTTGAATAAAAATTATGTGGCCTTTAAATAATCAGAAAAGGTTTTCATTCTTTTTGTGTTATACTAAAGGTTTAATTTAATCGAGTTTTAAATTCTATTACTGAATCAATTGAGTAATTAAAAAAAAATTCTGAGTTTTTATTGAGTAATTTCTACCATTATTTTGTAATTCTTTTTTCCTCCTTAATTAGTAGACATTTTAAACTGTCATCTTGGGTTTTTTAGTTGATATATTTGCACATAAATCTGTTAAATTTGTCAATTTGAGGATAATTTAAATTATTGAAGAAAATGGGATGTTTAAGTTTTCTAGGCCCATATTTGAAAAATAGCAATTACTGGTATTATCTTTAAATATAATCACATGTAAACCATATGTGATGAATTTCTTAAGGAATCTTTCATTGAGAATTAGAAAATTCTCCTGTTCTTTTTATTTATCTGAATATTTACTAAAGAATTTTCTTATAGTAAACTGATACTAATGTCTGGCATGACTTTCATATTTTTGGAGTGAATGTATAGCTATTTGTATGTCATATGCATAAATAATCAAGTTAGGGGACTAGAAGGAAATAATTAAATATATTGCTAATTTTACTTTTTTAAAAAAGCTATTGGAAATATTACTACATTTTAAAATTGAATTACTACAGGTTCTTAGTTTTAATATTTTAAGCTGGGTGTAGTGGCTCATGCCTGTAATCCCAGCAATTTAGCAAGATCCTGTCTCAAAATAAAAATAAGAAGAACTGGGGATGTAGCTCCTGTGGGTTCAATCCCCACTTCCAGGGGCTGGGGCCAAGTGTGTTGTATTTGAAATTCATTTTAATGTTGTATAAAGTATAAAATATTACAGACATCCAAAGAAGTTTGAAAATAAATTTTAGATATTAAACATACTCTGATGGGCTTATTGGCATTTCTAAATAGATCACATATTGTTTCATGAGATTATATTCTTAGAAAAGGATTAAAAGATAATACATTCATTTATATGATATATTTCAGGGAGTTGAAGAAGCACATGTTGCATATTTTGAAGCGTCATAATCAAAATTAATTTGACTAGAGCAGAATTCATCAAACTATAGTCTTTTACCATGTCCATTTTAATAGTACTTCATCACAGAGATAAGAATAGTATTAATCTTTTCATAAAAAGAAGAAAACTGGGCTTGTAACTGTAGGCTGAGTTACTCAAGTTAACTCCATTGGCTGAGGGAAAAGAATTGCTTGAGCCCAGGTTTTGATGCCAGTGTGGGCAACATAAGAAGATTCCAGCTCAAAAAAGAATGTTACACGACTTTTGATCCACAGTATTTTAAAATATTTGTTCTTTGCCTCTTTATAGAAAAAGTATATTGAATCTTATGGTGAAATGTTTGTGATTTCTTAGAATTAGTATTTATGTTAGGTTATAAAGTTACTGAACTCTCACTTTTCTGAAGAGCTAATATATATCAAATAGTATATAAAAGCTGGCTGTGGTGGTGCACACCTGTAATCCCAGCAGCTCATGAGGCTGAGACAGGAAGATCAAGAGTTCAGAGCCAGCCTCAGCAATAGTGAGGCGCTAAGCAATTCAGTGAGATCCTGTTTCTAAATAAAATACAAAATAGGGCTGGGGATGTGGCTCAGTGGCAAAGTGCCCCTGAGTTCAATCCCAGGTACCAGAATGAATGAATGAATGAATGAATAAATAAATAAATAAATAGTACATAAGTAAGCTGATAATTTGTGTGACAAAGGAATTATGTTTAGGGGAAATATCATCTTTTCTTTTTAAAAGCACTTTTGAGATTAAAAATCGTATGAACAGACACAAGGCTTTCATAATTTTGTTATTAGTTTTATTTAGTTCCTAGCTTCATACTGCTTCTTGCTAATGTAAAACTAATCAAGCACTAAAAATTAACAAATGCTCTTTACCTCTCTTGACTGCATTTGGAAAACATTTTGTTAATAAGAACATATTAAGGCAGTTTTCTGAGATATTCGTCCTTTACTTTATAAAATGTCATTGGAAAAATTGTTAAACTGTTTTAATTCTTCTTATTATTTTTTTTGTTGTTTTGTTTTAAAGCTTTGAAATTAGGCCCTCTTATGTGCTTTCTCTTTTTTCACTGTTCAATTTAAAGGGAGGAGTCAAATGGTAAGTGTTCAGCTTGCCTAGTAATGAAAGTAGAATTTTCTTGGTTAGTTTTCATATGTCACCTTTTATTTCTTTATCATATTCCCATTAGATATATTCCAACATAATTAAGAGCATGGAGCTATGAAGTATTAAAAAATTGATTTACACTTTATATCCTAAATACTAATATTTTTTAATGTAGCGAGGGATGAAGGAAAACACATCTGGTCATATTTATTTTTCTTTGTCAGCCTTCAACTTGATGATAACTTTTATGACATACATGGAAATATATTTTTAAGAATATGTTGTCTATTTTTCTTTAGAGAAAAATCAAACTGATAATTGCTATTGTAATAAATGAAACATTCGCTCTTGTAGAATAACATACTTTTGACTACTTTAAGAATGTATTTTTATCCTGTATCATTTATTTTTAGGTTTATCTTGTACTATAGCATGGAGTGTATTTGACCATTTTTTAGGTAGTTTTTATGATCATTTCTAGCTAGTATTTACTAAGTTGCAGTTTTCTGCTGTCCCAATTTTATAGCTTTTGGAAACATAACAATTTAGAAATAATGAAAATTTTATGAGGTTGGCTTTTTTATGATTGTCTTGTAATTGTTTTCATGTTAGGTTGCTTCATTTGCTGTAGATGAAGTAGTTTAAACACTTAAATACTGCAGTCTTTTCTTGTGGAAAGAATTTCTACTAGAGGAAATGGTAGATTTTAGTTTAAATATCTTGTTATTGCAGTTTCTTGTAGTAAATATTGCTTTTGGGGGATATGTTAGTGTCCTAATAAATATCCAGATGTCAGTATTTTTCTAGCTATCATAATTGTATCATGTGGTGATACAAAATTTTGGTAATGTTTAGAATGCTAGTAGTTATTATTTTTTTTAAGTCGCATTAAAAAAATGCTAGTAGTTAATTTTAAAACCTGAAAAGTTTCTATTTCTGGTTTGGTAAATACTTTTTGCTTTTCAGTGAAGAAAAGAATGGCATTTAAGATCTGTTTAAATACCCTGCAATAAATTAAGTCTTGGTACTGTAATGTGTGTGGTCTCAGATGTGCACATAATAAACTTGGAAGTAAAGGTATATTATATGCCAAGGCAGCAGTTTGATTCCAGTTGGGTTCCTTTGACAGCGTATTCCTTGTTGCAACCTAGGGCCTGTGAAATACAGATCAGAAACATTAAGAAAATATATCCAGGGGCCTCTTATGTAGCTTAGTGATAGAGTACTTGCTTATTAGTATCCACAAGGCTGTAGGTTACATTCCCAGCACCAAGGAAAGGGAAAAAGAATTATATCCAGAGGCTGCTGGTTTTATGTCTCTTCCAAGGACAGTGTTTTTCAAACACTTGGGAACTTTTTAAAAATGTGGATCCCATTGTGGAATGGTGGCACAGGCCTATAATTTCTGTGACTTGGTAGGCTGAAGCCAGGAGCATCACAAATTTGAGGTGATACCTTATATCAAATAAAAAGGGCTGAGATGTAGCTCCATGGTAGAGCACCCCTGGGTTTAATTCCCAATCTGGAGAAGGGGGGAAAAATAAGTGGAGCCTTAGATCTTATACCTAATCATAATTTTTTTTGTGTGATTAGATTCTGAAGTATCTTGAGTATCAGTTGCTTTTTTTTTTTTTTTTAAATTTAGTAGTTCTTAAACTTGAACTCAAGGCCCA